GTTTGTCTGGGTGCAGTGGCTCATGCCTATGATCCCAGCACTTTGGAAGGCTGAGGTGGGAGGATTTCTTGAGCCCAGGAGTTTGGATCAATGTGGGGTACATAGTGAAACCCCATCTCTACTAAAAATACAAAGAAGCCAGGTGCAGTGGCTCACATCTGTAATCCAGCACTTTGGGAGGCCAAGGCAGGTGGATCACGAGGTCAGGAGTTCGAGACCAGCCTGGCCAACATGGTGAAACCCTGTCTCTACTAAAAATACAAAAATTAGCCTGGAGTGGTGGTGCACACCTGTAGTCCCAGCTACTTGGGAGGCTGAGGCAGAAGAATCACTTGATGAAGCCAGGAGGTGGAGGTTGCAGTGAGATGAGATCATGCCACTGCACTCCAGTCTAGGCAACAGAGAGAGACTCCATCTCAAAAAACAAAAACAAACAAACAAAAAAACAAAGAATTAGTTGGGCGTCCTGGTGTGTACTTGTAGCCCCAGCTACCCGAGCCTGAGGTGGGAGGATCACCTAAGCCTGAGAAGTCAAGGTTACAGTGAGCTGAGATCGTGTCACTGCACTCCAGCCTGGGTGACAGAGTGAAACCCTGTCTCAAAAGAGTACTATTTATCTGTAGTTTGCACAAACTGGCTAAGAAAAAAATTAAAGTGCTATTTTTAGCGGGCTTCAGATTTCACTCTGGTGGGATACACAGGAGCAGGTATCACTTTTATTTCAAAAGGAGAAACTGAGACTTAAGGTCAAGTAACTTACATGAAGTTGTACAGCTGCTAAAGGCTGGGAGACAGACTCCACACTGGGATCCTCCCCAGTTCTGACTGTCCCAGTAAAGTTCTGTGGGATTTTACTGAAAATAAAGTTCATGAACACTTGCAGCAGTCTGTATGCTGTATATGCACTAAGAAGTTCTCAGGAAGGGTGACAACAGTAGCAGCGTACACTGAGGGCTCACCAGACGCCAGTCCTAGATGAACTACTTCCTTATATCACACCTCCCTGTATTCCTGCAGCTGTTCGGGAAGGGAGGGTTCCCTGTCTTAGTTTACAGATGAGAAAACTGAAGATCAGACAGGTTAAGTAGTTTGTCCAGTATCACACAGCTAACAGATGCCAAAGTGAGATCTGCACCCAACCCACACACAGTGAGTAGGGCTGTGGGTAAACATCTGGACTCTGGAGCCTTCAATTCTCATCTTCAGGACACATTAGCTTTGTGACTTTAGCCAACTAATACACTTGACTCTCTGATCCTACAGTAAAATGCTAAGAGTTGGCTCCTCCAACCTAAACGGACTCCATGTCAGAATCAATAACGTTCAAGCCAATGAAGGGCTTTCCACCATTTCCAATGTAACCCTAGCTCCCACTACTTTTCTTACTTTTTAAGAAATCTTGAGGCCAGTGCGGTTTGTTTCCCTTCTTCCTCCTCTGAGTCAGAATCAGAAGATGTGGAACCTGTGTCCCAGTCTTCGTCATCTTCAGAATCTTCTGAGTCCTCATCTTCATCCTTAGAGGGAAAAAAAAGAGGTCCAGGAGGAAGATACAGAGATTGCCTGGTTTCCTAAACTGACGGATGCTCGCCTCTACCCTCCTTACAAACCCATGTTCCAGACATTTCTTTTCTTTTCTGTTTTTTTTTTTTTTTTGAGATGGGAGTCTCCCTCTGTTGCCCAGGCTGGAATGCAGTGGCAAGATCTTGGCTCAATGCAACCTCTGTCTCCCAGGTTCAAGCAATTCTCCTGCCTCAACCTCCCAAGTAGCTGGTACTACCTATAGGCGTATGCAACCACAACCGTCTAATTTTTGTTTTTTAGTATAAACAGGGTTTCACCATATTGGACAGGCTGGTCTTGAACTCCTGACCTCATGATCCACCTGCCTTGGCCTCCCAAAGTGCTGAGATTACAAGCATAAGCCAATGTGCCTGGCCTATTTATACTTATGAGTAGAACAACAGTGGCTACTCATGGAATCAAGGTATCAAGGGCTGGAATGAACCATCAAGCCCCAGAGTGATGCTGGGACTTGGCCCCAGGGACACACACAGCTCCCCCTGGCAGAGCTGAGCCCAGATCCCTGTTCACTCACTGCTCTTATGTTAAGAGGAAGCCTGTTCTCAACTCCACTAAATTACACCCCTCCCAACCCTAGCGGTTTGAGTCTTTTCTTTTTCCCCCAGGGATTCAGGAACAACCTCTGGCAGGAAACCACCCAACTAATCCTGGTTCTTACATCCATCTTTTTGAGGAACTTGCGACTCTCCCCACAAGAAGCATCTGATTTCTTCTTCAAGAAAGTTGCAGCACTGACTCCGTCCTCATCCTCATCCTCATCTGAAGAGCCTAGTGGGAATGGAGGGAGAGAGATCCTGAATGCTGAAAAGCCAGACTGGAGGGCAGCCAAGAAACTAGGTCGAGGGCAGTGCTAACTCTGGACTTCCTATTTGCAACAAAGGTTATTCTGCTCACCTTCTGAATCCTCCTCATTCTTCTCAGCATCTTCATCTGCAGACTGCTCAGGGTTCTGGACAGAGAGAAGTGAGAGAACAATCACAGATGCTTGCCAGCCATAACCCCACCCCATCCCTCTACCTGAGACAGTTCTGTCATGGTTCCTGCTCCAGCCACCTCCCACTACCAATTACATCTTTGGGCCTCGGTCACGGGGTCACTGTTCCCACAGTTCACTAAGTGCCTCTAGCCTCCCACCTGCTTGTAACTTGTGATATGGGACTCAAAATCACGGTTGTATTTTCGGATCTTCTGGCGCAAGGTGCTCAAAGCCTTGGCATTGTTCTTGTTCATCTTCTTCTTCCCTTCCTTATCTTCCCAAAGCTAAAGGGGAAAGGAAAGAAAGAGAGAACAGTGATCAGAAACTAAGTAGTGTTTCCTAAACGCCAGGCTTCTTCACCACTTTTCAGTCTGGCTATCAGCATACCACTGGTACTCCTTATTAACTACATGTTAGTTTTCTTCTTTTGAGACAGAGTCTTGCTCTGTCGCTCAGGCTGGAGTGCAGTGGCACAATCTCGGCTCACTGCAATCTCCACCATCTGTGTTCAAGTGATTCTCCTGCCTCCACCTCCTGAGTAGCCGGGATTATAGGTGCTTGTCACCACGCCCAGCTAATTTTTATATTTTTAGTTGAGATTGGGTTTCACCATGTTGGTCAGGTTGGTCTCAAACACCTGATCTTGTGATCTGCCCAAAAGTGCTGAGATTACAGGTGTGAGCCACCACACCTGGCTTATTATTTTTTTTCTTTGAGACTGAGTCTTACTCTGTCACCCAAGCTGGAGTGCAATGGTGCGATCTAGGCTCACTGCAACCCCAAGACATGGTTTCACCATATTGGCCAAGCCGGTCTCGAACTCCTAACCTTGTGCTCCACTCGCCTGGGTCTCCCAAAGAGCTGGGATTACAGGCGTGAACCACCTGTTAGCGTATTTTTTAAAGATCCTATACATTCCACCTGGCCCTGTTAGCGTATTTTTTAAAGATCCTATACATTCCACCACTAAAAGTACAAAACCATGAATAAGCAATGGTAATAAATACAGACATCACACCTCATTAAGATAGTCCTCTAGGTCAGCCAAGATGCGGATATAGAACCGGGGGACACCTTCTTTGTCCACAATGCTCTTGGCCTTCCCATATGCTTTTCCCAGGAGCTCAAACTCTTCCAGGCACTTTGTGACATCGCGAATCTTCATGGCATTACGAATGGTCCGGATAAGGTTGGTCAGCTCCTCAAACCTGGGTTAGGAGCCCGATACCACATTGAACATGCCCACTGAGGGGAAAACTCACCACTGCTCCCAGAGACTCCCATCACCCAGCCTCCCCATGGTTTCACCTCTTGTCCTTGGCACTTCGGACAACTCTCTTAGTATCTTCTTCATCCTCGCTCAGCAACAATGGCCTGTTTGGAAGGAATAGAGACCATTAATCTCCTTTCCTACTCCTAGTCTTTCCAAGAGATCCCTATTTCCCTTCTCAGGACGGGTGGAACTGAGTAACCCAGGCCATCCATACCACACCCATCCTCTTTTTGACTCCTCCTCAAGGCCACTTCATATACAACTCACTCTTTTAAGTGTACGTTGAATAAGGCCTTTTGCTCAGTGTTGTAGCAAACACAACGGTGACAGTCACTATCCTCTCAAAAACAAATGAAGGTGCTTATTCACTGTGTAACTAATGACACAGAGGCACAAGTCACTATAGAAATACCGGAAAAAAAAAAAAAAAAGAAGTTGGGCTGTGCACAGTGGCTCATGCCTGTAATCTCAGCACTTTGGGAGGCCAAGGCAGGTGGATCACCTGAGGTCATGAGTGCAAGACTAGCCTGGCCAAAATGGCAAAACCCTGTCTCTACTAAAAACACAAAAATTAGCTGGATGTGGTGGACTGTGCCTATAATCCCAGCTGCTCGGAAGCCTAAGCAGGAGAATCGCTTGAACCTGGGAGGCAGAGGTTGCAGTGAGCCGTGATCACACCATTGCACTCCAGCCTGGGGAACAAGAGTGAAACTCTGTCTCAAAAAAAAAAAAAGAAAAAGAAAAAAAGAGGTAGAGAAAAACGATACTTGGGCTATCATGAACAGAAAAGGCTTCAAGGAGGTAAAGTACCTAAACTAGATCTCAGCAACATTACTCAAAATATGAGAGGCCAATAGCAAGGGGGAAGTCTCCATGGCATGAATATCTCCAGTGTTAGTATTTTTCTATGATACTAAGACCACATCACAGGCTCACAGTCAGCAACAGTACCACTATTCTTTTTGCTTGTTAAGAGACAAGGTCTCACTATGTTGCCCAGGCTAGCCTCCAACTCCTGAGTTCAAGGGATTCTCCCACCTCAGCCTCCAGAGTAGCAGTTGGGACTACACACATGCCCCATCTTGCTTGCCTCTTTTTCCTTCCTTTTCATTATTTTTTGGATTATTTTATTATTATTATTATTATTATTATTATTATTATTTTTCTCAGCATGACTGCGGATTTATTACAAGTCCCCGAGGGCTTCACTTTTTCTTCTCCACGTCCTGTTCTGCAGCTTCCCTGGCTCTTTTCGCTCATATGCCGAAGAGCCGGGCATTGGCACGGGCCATGCGGAGACTAGCGAAGGCTGTGAAATTCTCCTCCTCAGTGATGACTCGTGCTTTCTCCTTCTTATAGACATTGAGGATGGGCATGACCGGTCCTGTCAGCTGGATGGCGAGCTTCAGTTCCTCAGCAGAACTGTCGCCCTTCCGCGGGGCCGAGGGCTTCCTCGGGAACAGGATGAGTTTGGAGCGGTACTCCTTCAGCCGCTGCACGTTGGCCTGCAGGGACTCGGTGGACTTATTCCGCCTCCTCGGATCCACAGAAATGCCGATGGTCCTGGCCACCTTCTTGTGAATGCCGGCCACTCTGAGCTCCTCCAGGCTGAAGCCGCGGCCGGCGCGCACCTTTGTGTGGTACCGAACCGTGGGGCAGCGCACGATGGGCCGGATGCGCCCCCCGACGCGGGGTGCGGGGCGATGCGGTGCGCCTTGGCTTGCCGGGTCTTGAGTCTACGGATCTTCCGGGCCAGCTGGTTGAACCACGTGGCCACGCGCCGCTGCCAGTCCTTGTGAAAGTGGGGCTTAAAGATCATGCCATTCCGGCTGGGCGCCATGGCTGACTACGGCCCTGCGGCTCCCGTGCAGGACAACCTATTTTTATTTTTTTGAGATGGAGTTTTGCTCTTATCACCCAGATGGAGTGCAATGGCGCGATCTCGGCTCACTGGGACTTCTGCCTCCCAGGTTCACGTGATTCTCCTGCCTCAGTCTACTGAATGAGTAGCTGGGATTACAGCTGCCTGCCACAATACCCGGCTAATTTTTGTATTTTTAGTAGAGACCATGTTGGCCAGGCTGGCCTCAAACTCCTGACCTCAGGTTATCTGCCCACCTCGGCCTCCCAAGTGCTGGGATTACAGGCTTGAGCCACCTGCCTGGTCTGAATTATTTTGTATTTTATGGCAAATGACATTGGTTTCCACCTGTAGAAGTGATACGAAATCATATGCATATTGGCATATACATGTGATACTTTTAAAATTAGTAGCACGAGCATATGGCAGATGTTTTAAGAAACACCATTCCAGTGGAACACAGTGGCTCATGCCTGTAATCCCAGCACTTGAGAATGCCGGGCAGGAGGTTCACTTGATCCCAGGAGTTCAGAACCAGCCTAAGCATCACAGTGAAAACCCTTCTCTACAAAAATTTAGAAACAATTAGCCCGCTGCGATGGCGTGATGCTGTAATCCCAACTACTTGAGAGGCTGAGGTGGGAGGATTGCTTGAGATCTGAAAGTCAAGGCTGCAGTAAGCTATGACGCCCCCCACCCCCACCGAAAAATGAAAACCCATTCCATTGTTTCAAAGGGTTTTAAAAAATTAATGTAAAGAAACGGGGGATGGAATTTACGTAGAAATTAACAGGCATGTAAAATGTTTAAGCTCCTGCGTACAAAGAAGGTGGCCAGACCTCAAAGCCACATCAGGGGGCTCCCAGATATGAACCAAGCATTTTGCATTTCCTTTCATGAGCAGTGGGAAGTCACTAAAGCCTTCTCGGTGGTAAGATGAGAGCAGAAAGAAGGTAGAGGCTGTAGACTTAAGAGGCTGAAGCTGATGCCAAAGATGTGGCCAGTGGGAAACCTCTCCCCTGTGACTCTATCCCCTGTGCCTTGTGGGTGGACTCCCGCTATCATAGCCCTCTAAGGCTCTCTCTCCAACACCGCTCCGATCCCGCAAACTCTGGTCTTTGTCTGAACCCGATCTCCCCACCCTCACGTACACTGCCTTCCACAACCCGTGTAACCCCGCACCCCCAGAACAGTCACCGCCACAGCCCCCGCCACTCACTGTTTGCCGTAGTTGCCTCCGACAGGCTTGGTGACGAGTTCCTCCCCGGATAGGGACGACTCGGACTCGCTGTCCGAACCAGTGGTGAAAAACCGCGACATGGCGACGGGGCGGAGGTGCTACGGCCAGCGCTGCCGGACCTGTGGGGGAGCCAAGGCGTCAAGGGCCACGCAAAGAGGCCCGGGCAACCACCTTCCGATCCCCTATCCCTCACTGGCCCCATCCAGACCTCGACCCAGGTCTCCCTTCACGATACACGAGGCCCAAAAAATACCAACCACCTGAGGTCTCTATTCACACCGCTGAGCCGGGACGGCGGAAATGCGAAGGCGGGCCTTGCATCACTTCCGGGAAGCGCCAACGAACTACATTGGGAGACTACAACTCCCAGTGGCCTTTGGGACACACGGGGGCGGGGACAAGCCTGATGGAACTGGGCACTGAGAGACAGCACTTGCGGAGGCCGAAGGCTGCGGATCACTTTAGACCAGGAGTTCGAGACCAGACTGACTAATGTGATGAAACCCCGTCTCTACTAAAAATCCAAAAAATTAGCTGGGCGCAGCTACTTGGGAGGCTGAGGCAGGAGAATCGCTTGAACCCTGGAGGTGGAGGTTGCAATGAGCTGAGATCGCGCCACTGCACTCCAGCCTGGGCGACAGAGGGAGACTCCATCTCAAAAAGTAAAATATGAAGTAAAATAAAGTAAAACCCTGACTTCATCCCGGAACCGCAGAACAGGAATGTAAGGGCCAGTGCCCATGTGACGAGCACTGACGGTGAGCTGCTAGGATTTGGAGTGAGGCTTAGAGCCGACTTCTAGTCAGACTATTTGGGCTCAAATTCCAGCTCCGCCACTTTAATTAGACAAATTTTCTAACCTCTCTATGCCTCAGTCTCCCCAAGCTATCAAATAACAATACCACCTCTTCATAGAGTTTTATGAGATTAAAATGACTTGGCGTATCTGAAGAATTTGGAACAGTGCTTTGTACAGTTAGTTCCTGAGCATTCATTACGAACAAGCAATGTCCTAGATATTGGATACAGCAGTGAGAAAAACATAAAAGTTTCCTGATTTCAAAAGGAACTCACATTCTGGTGGTCCAACATAGTTAACAAAATGCGTAACAAGATAGTACTAGGCAATATAAAGACATTAAAATATAGAGTTATAGAGGAAGCTACAAAGGTCTGGACCTCTCTGAAGAGGTGATATTTGAGCAGAGATTCAAATGACAGGAAGGAGGGAGCCATTCAAAGGTCATCTAGGGAAAAGAGCATTTCCAGCAACCGCAAAGGTCTTGAGGCAGAAATGAGATTGGACAGTTCTAGGAATAAGGAGAAGGTGGCCTGGTCTGGTGACTCACACCTGCAATCCCAGCACTCTGAGATAATCCCAGCACTCTGGGATATCGAGGTGGGCAAATCACAAGGTCAGGAGTTCGAGGCCAGCTTGGCCAATATGGTGAAAAACGCTCTCTCTACTAAAAATACAGAAGTTAATTGGCCACGGTGGCGGGCCCAGCTACTCAGGAGACTGAGTCAGGAGAATCCCTTGAACCCTTGAAGGTGGAGGTTGCAGTGAGCCAAGATGGTGCCACTGTGCTCCAGCCTGAGTGACAGAGCGAGCTTCATCTCCAAAAAAAAAAAGGAGAGAGAGAAGGTCAGAGTGATATCAGTAAAGCAAGCAAGGCATTAATAGTATAGAAGTAGACAGTGCTGGCTAGCTGTGGTGGCTCACGCCTGTAATTCCAACACTCAGGGAGTTTGAGGTAAACGGATCACCTGAGGTCAGGAATCAAGACCAGTCTGGCCAACACGGCAAAACCCCGTGTCTACTAAAAAATACAAAAATTAGCTCAGCATGATCTAAAAAACAAAGAACATGGGTTTATAGATGTACGATGATCCTGGTTTTTGTTTTGTTAAAAAAAATTTTTTTTTGAGACAGAGTTTTGCTCTTATAGCCCAGACTGGAGTGCAATGGCACAATCTTGGCTTACCACAACCCCGCCTCCCAGGTTCAAGTGATTCTCCTGCCTCAGCCTCCAGAGTAGCTGGAATTTACAGGCATGCATCACCACGCCCGGCTGATTTTTGTATTTTCAGCAGAGACGGAGTTTCACCATGTTGTCCAGGTTGATCTTGAACTCCTGACCTCAGATGATCCGCTCTCCTCGGCCTCCCAAAATTCTGGGATTACATGCCCAGCCCTCTCTCTCTCTTTTTTAAATAGTATATGTCCATTATTACAAAATATAAATGGTACAACAGAATACACAGGAAGAAAAAGAATATACAGGAAAAAAATCTCCTTCCCACCTGTCCCGACCTGCAGGACAACAACAGGAGCTCGAAGGGAGGGAGTGGGGATGGATGGGTAGGAGACGTGAGAAATGGAGACAAGACAGGAGTCTGATCAAGTCTCCTTTATTGTAGCTAAGTTCGCAGCTTAAATAAGCGCGGAGGCGGGGCAAGGGTAGCTTGCAGTTGGGAAATTCCGGCCTAAGTAAGTTTCAGTAGACTGAAACTTACTGAGCTTATCAGCCTATCAGCCAGGAGTAGACTGAAACTTATCAGCTTAAGCAAACCACAACATGGCTGAACAGATCACAAAATGGCGGCTATTGCTGCCCACAGGTCCCCCTTTTTTATTTTATTTAGAAATTAGGCTGAGGGGTAGTTATGCCCACGGGAACTGTGCCTGTCTTAGGTCAGAGGACCCCACATGAGAGAACATTGACTCCTTATCCGTCATGGGGAGGGGAAAAACGTTTTCGTCTCTATCTTAGGTGGAGTCTCCTTACTCATGCTCCTCAGTTGCCCGTCATTGGCTAATCGGTTCAGCTCGCTGGGTGACCTGAGAGGAAAGGTATAACCTTTGTGTTTTATGAATCGAGCTCCATCTCTAGGTCTGCCATTTTCAGCCTGTGGTAATGGATCTGAATGGGCTGCATCTTTATGGCCTCAATTTGTGACCTTGAGAAGCTCATGAGTTTGCTGGATGAATAATATCATGTTGTTGACTCCTAAAAAGGAAAAAGATAGAAGACCCTCAGGGCTCGGTGTCGTCCCTGGGTGGAGTTGGTTTTTCGGATTTTTTGGTATCTACTTGCTTTACAAGTCTCTCGGGAAGCCATCTGGCCGAATCGGCTTCCTTGGCGTAAATGCACACTGATCCTCGACCCCAAATCAGGACCGGGTCCGGGCCATGCCATGCGCCTGTCATGGGATCTTTCCAGATTACTGATGCATAATGGCTTTTGGATTCAAAATGCCAGTGTCGATCGGCAGCAGAATGTCCTTCTTGATCCAGTGTTAAAAAATTTAAAATAAATAAGGGAGTGTGATAAAAGGTTTTTTGGTGATCCCTTATGGGGATATCATTCCCCCTTTTTTATTTTATTTAGAGTGGTTTTTATGGTGAGATGAGCTCTTTCTACTATGCCTTGTCCCTGAGGGTTGTACGGAATGCCTGTAACATGTTGAATGTTTAGGTGAGTACAGAATTGAGCGAAGGCTGTACTGACATAACCAGGCCTGTTGTCAGTTTTGATTTTACGTGGACACCCCAGGGATGCAAAGGCAGCTAAAAGATGAGCAATAACATGTTTTGTGGCTTCTCCTGTTTGTAAAGTGGCAAAGATATATCCACTACAAGTATCAATGCAGACATGAACATATTTAAGATTTCCAAATTCTGGGATGTGGGTGACATCCATTTGCCAAAGGGCGTTAGGTAGGAGGCCTCGAGGGTTAACTCCAAGATGTGGCACCGGTAAGCGAGGGGCACATTGTGTGCAG